ATTTATGAGGATATTTTCAGTGTCCCCGTAATTCAAAAGGCTTATAAATAATCAGAATTATTCAGAATTAGTTTTTTTGAAAATCTAAAAATGCAGAAAGTTTCCTGTGAGGGGTAGGTTTAGGGGTAGGGTTGGTGTAGGACAATAGCACATACAGTTTGTACAGTATAAAAACCATTACGCCTATGGAGAGTCCCCATAAACCATAAAAACAAACCTGTGTGTGTGTGTGTGTAATCTGGATGGATGGAGCATATGGCGTGTGCAGTGCAGACGGGCTCAGAGACTCTCAGGACTTAAAATATGATTCATTTCTTTCCCTCTAATCCACACAGCCACATCAGAGCAGAGTTCCTCCAATTCTCCCTTTAATCGATTCCTAATCCCACACACACACACACACACACACACACACACACGCACACACACTCTCTCACACACACACACACACGCACACACACTCTCTCACACACACACACACACGCACACACACTCTCTCACACACACACACACACGCACACACACTCTCTCACACACACACACACACGCACACACACTCTCTCACACACACACACACACGCACACACACTCTCTCACACACACACACACACGCACACACACTCTCTCACACACACACACACACGCACACACACTCTCTCACACACACACACACACGCACACACACACACACACTCACACACACATACACAAGCACACTCCTGTGACCCTTCCCTCCATCTCTCTTTGTTTTTTGCATCTCTCTCAGCTACACAACACAACACAGGATGGACAAACACGGTTTAATTTCAAAGACTGTGTGTGTGCTTGTGTGTACGTGTGTGTGTGTGAGAGAGTGTGTGTACGTGTGTGTGTGTGTGTGTGTGTGTGTGAGAGAGTGTGTGTGTGTGTGTGTGTGTGTGTGTGAGTGTGATTTCAAACCTAGAGGAAAATTCTGAATAACTGAAAAAAGTTCCTCACCCATTATATCCATTTTAAAAGTGTATTTTCTTTCACACACACTTCTGCTGACACACATCACTCCATTCAAGAACAAATACATTCATCCATCTTTAAAAACAGATATAAACTCATACTAAGTCTCATTTACCTACAGCTTGTTTTGTAGAAATGATCCTGAATTTGACCTTCATCATCATCATCATCATCGAGTCACATTTCACCTGTAAGCCAGAAACTATCTGAAGTGATTATTAGAAAGCCTCTCGCAGCAAAACAAACACTTTGTCTCATTGAGTACAAAAAATAGAATGGAAGTCAATGGGAACTAAAACGGTTTCATTCCCAACATTCTTCAAAGTCTCTTCTTTTGCGTTTCACAGAAGAAAGAAGAAGTCATATAGCTTTGAATGACACGAGGACAGTAAATGATGACAGAATGATGATATTTGGGTGAACTGTCCCTTTAACAGCATTCAAACACCTCCATCAGTGTTTTGATAACTTTACATTTGGTTGTTATCTCTGAAATGTAGAGATTTAATAGAGGGACGAGTGTAATTACACACTTCATCTCTCTCTCTCTCTCTCTGTCTGTAGTTTGTTATTTTTACTGATCTAATTTAGCAAATGTTTCAATCCTCTTAGGCTCCGGCGCTGTTCAGAGTGAATTAGTCTGGATTATTGTGTCTCTCTCACTCTCGTTTAGTCTTTTCTTCTCAGCGTCTTGCTCAGAATCAGAATCAGTGGGTCAGTGAGTTTCAGACGTTACCTGATCTTCATCCATCTTCTCCATGAAGACCTTCAGTTTCTTCCGTCTGTGAGAAGATTCAGTGCAGACTAACGTCCAGTGTTGGGGGTAACGCATTACAAGTAACGCAAGTTACGTAATCAGATTACTTTTTTTCAAGTAACGCGTAAAGTAACGCATTACTTTTTAATTTACAATATTTAGTTACTTTTTCAAATAAGTAACGCAAGTTACTTTGTTTCCAATTTATTGATTGACAGCTCTGCTGTTGCCATGGTGACCGAAGTCAGAAGATGTTCCTGTAGTTCTAAAATAAATATGAATATGCATTAATTCATCTCACTCACAAAAAAAACACAGATTCAGTATTCCTCAAAATGAATAAAAATAATGCAACTCATAATATGACGCAAACCTGCAATAATTAAATGTCAAACAACACAAATATCCTTTATGTATTTAATCCCATTCTATTTGCTTCTGACCTTCGATGATCCAGTTCAACCGTACTAATAAGCCAAAATTACTCTAGACAAACATCTGTGTCTTTGTTTATTGCTGAAGTGTGTTGACATGTCTTCTTCTGCATTCTACTGTACGGACGTACATTTACTTTCCCTTCAGCCTGAAGTTTATTCATTTCACTTTTGGTGTGAAAGGCTTTTATATTTGCCAAAACTACAACTTTTTTATTTTAAAAACAAACAAGCAAGCCCTGTCCAGATTTAAAAAGTAACGCAAAAGTAACGTAACGCATTACGTTCCATAAAAAGTAACTAAGTACCATAATTAGTTACTTTTTTATGGAGAAACGCAACATTGTAATGCATTACTTTTAAAAGTAACTTTCCCCAACACTGCTGACGTCCAGTAACATCTAGAAAACAAGCGCTATTTATTACAGCAACAAGAGATGCGCATGAGTCGTGTTCAACACTGGACCCTTAAGACCTTCTCCATTCTGACAAAAGTACTGCAATGTATTGAGCTACTTATATATACTCACATTCTGTCTGAATTCATCCACTTCTCTCATTTTCTGAATCAAATCTCTAATAAAAAAAAAAACATTGGCAGACAAGATCTCCTGCTGTTACTGTACACTTACTGTACATTTGATGAAATAATGTAAACAACATGAATAAGTGTTTATGAAATGTCTACCTGAGCATTTGATCAGGCAATTAAAAATAATAGCAAAATAATTTCCTATTATAATATAAAAAAAGATATGATATACAGTAACACTTTTGGAGATCAGTATCGATTTTTAGCCAGAAGAACAGAAAACACTGAGACTGAAGGCATTGTTTACACACTATCTTTATATATATTTCATAAAAATTCCTCCAATTTATATTTGAAGGTTATTTTCTGTGACGTCACGTTTCTTTTGAATCTTCTCATCATGATGAATCCGTCTCTCATTCATTAAGTTTCATGGCTCACTTCTGAGGCTCTTACTCACTTTCATTATATACTAATGTCTGGAACACATCAGTATAATCTTTGCTGATTTGTTTGTTTTGCATTGGAGAAACCTGAAATGCTCTTTCCAAACAAACACTGCACTCATGTCTATTAAGTGCATGTGAAACAAACTAAATCAGTCAGTCTGTCATGTTGAAGGCGTCTGCTCTTCCTCCAGTCTCCTCTCCTGTGTTTTTGAGCAGCTCCTAATCTCTCTATTCTGTCTAATCCAGGCCTGACCTCAATCAGTGATGTAATGGGTCATGTGACCCTGACAGCGGTTTCCACCAATCAGAGCACTTCACACGTTTGAGGGCGCGAGTGACTGAAAACATGATTCAGAAAGAGAAAGACATTCTTTTGCACAGTGTTTGTGTTACTCTGTGATCATTAGAACTGATTCTATAGGACTGATAGGAGCTGCTAAACTCACACTGAATTTTCACTCAGAAATAGCTAATGAATTTCACAAATAATTACAGAGAAACAGCAAGTAACACATTGCATTAAATGTGAAATTCTGAAGTAGAAAGACCGAAATAGTATTTTCTTGTAAAACATACTCCAGTAATATTCATGTCTGAAGAATCATGTTAACTAAAAACTAAACCTGCAGTCAGTTTCATTACCTGAAGCAAAAAGTATTAACTTAAAAATAACTGTAAATAAAAAGTGGACGTACTAAAATTATTAAAAATAAATTGAAATAATAAATTGCAGGTAAATACAAATATTTTTGTAAAAAAAAAAAAAAGATAATTGCACAAAATTTCAAGTAATAGGAAAACTGAACCCGTAAAAATGAAAAGTAATTCAAAATATTAACAAATACTATAATAGCATAGAAACTATACTAAAATAACAATGGTAGGATTTTATTTATTTATTATTTCATGTCCAACACTGAAATTAACTAGACAGCTGAGCACGCGCTCTATCTAAGCTCCTCCCCCATCTGTTTGTAGTGCAGTGTGACCTGACACACACACACACACACTCACTCA